CMWTYCCATATCGTACTCCGCTGGTTCAAATAGGAGGCCTTCTCGTCGTAAGCCACGACCAATATTTCGTCAACGCCACATGCAATGAAATTTGGGTTGTCGAAGATGGAAAAGCAGCACGTTTTGAAGGTACATTCAATGACTATAAGATGCACACGGCCAAGAAAACGGAGAAAAGAGTAGAAGATAGTCTAAAGAAGCTGGTGAGGTAGTGTCRACAACTAAAACTAGTGGAAACAAGTCAGTACATGTGTCAACCATCATTCTAGTTCTTTACTTCTTTAGGAATCCGTTTCTGCCATGAGGAAATTGATCCATTTTTCCTGGACATTGCTGCCCTCAAGGTGCTCTACGTCCGCTTTCGGTGGAGGTAACGGAACGGCTAATGCGCCAACAACCTTTGCTCTAATTGTATCAAGATTGTTTGAAGTTATATGGACCTTCTCCTTTTCTTCTTCAGAAAAATGCAGTAAATTCGCCATGACTTCCAGAACCTGGTTCCGCTTACTCTTGTCGTTCAGAGTGCACCAGTCAACAAGAATATTTTTCATGACGTTCCTATCGATAACGTCTTCTTGCGTGGTTTGGAGTCGTTTGATAGCTTCATCAAGTGAACGTCGCATTTGATTGTTCTCGGATTTTAAAGTCTCTATTGTACCTTCAACTAATTCCATTTCATTCATTACGTTCCTCACCGCATCATCTGACGCCCTTTGAATTGCGTCCATTTCCGTCTGATGAATTTGTTTTAGTGCATTGGTGGAAGTTGCATGTGCTGACTTGATAGCCTCCTCAGATTCTCGCTGCTGCTCTTCAATCATTTCCATTTCTGCTTGTCGTTCATCTTGGAATGCCTCCAAKGCAGATTGTAGATTGTCATTTGCCATCATCATGCGAGCATTGTCAGAGCGTGCAATTTCAAGATCGCCAAGAGCGGCGGCCAACTTTTGCTTTGAATCTTTCAACTCTGACAAAGCATTCAGCCGCTCCGAATCTATTTGCGTACGAAATTCCAATGCAGAATCAGCAGCTGCCTGGCTTTTCGACCGCTCCCGAGCGCGTTCTTCTTTCAACATGGTGAGTTCCATCTGAAGTCCCGAGAGCTCCTCAGACCCAGTCCTCAAGGWTGCTACTTGTTCACGTAACCTGTCCSTCTCGAGTTCAAGGGTTTCGACTGTCTTCTGCAATGCATCGTTTTCGTGGTGTAATTCTTCAAGCTCGTCCTCGGCTTCTTCTTCGCCCTCTTTGTGTTCGCTAACTTTAGATTCCATGTCTTTCAGAGCTTTTTTCAAGCGAGAAATTTCTTCGTCTCGTTCGTCCAAGACCGCCATRGTTTGAGCCATCCGATCATCAACTTTTCGCAGAGCACGTTCTTCTTGTTTTTTTGCTTGCGCTATATCGATCTCGTATTTTTTWGCGTTAGCTTTCAACTGATTTTCAACTCGGTCGAAATTCGCGTAGCTTTCTTGTAACAGCCTTTTGTATTCTTCCTTTTCGTCTTGTGACTCTCTCTGTTCTTTTGCTAGCAACTGCTCTAGGTGTTGAGTCTTGGCAGCGYATTCTTGTCGTAATAACAGCGTTTGATTGTGATTGTCTTCAGAAGTGGCTTGAAGCAACCGTGTCTCTTTTTTCTGAAACTGTAGAAGAAGGTCTTCTTTTTCGGACTCGGCTTTCTCTTTGTCCACCGTAGCTTGGTATTGGAGGGTTTTGATTTCTTTCCTTGCATTTTCTAGCTGTATTTGCAATTCCTTTTGGTCGAGTTCGGCTTTGGATAATTTTTGCTTGTAATCTTCATTTGGATAAATGTCTTCTCGCTGTGATGACCTTTTTGGACCTCCTTTATTGGTTTGTAACCCACTTGCATCTTGTACAACAGCACGTGAGATGCTATGATTTTGCGGGGAAGTCGAAGGCAAGACGTATTCAATATCYTTGCTCGACTTTGATGTCKTTACTTTGGCCTCYAACCTTTCCACACCATCACATGAGATTTTGTGATCTTGCGACGAAGTTGAAGGGACGACCTCTTCRATGACGTTTGTGGGTTTGATAGTCGTTTCATTCTTAATGAACCCAGTACYATTGGCGACGTCATTCTTTATTATGTTTTTGTKGTCGTCGTCSATAGAGACCACGGATTCTAATGCCTTTGCTTCCATTTCGATGCTATTATTATTCTCCTTTGGTTGAAGTCTTTCTYTCCTAACTTTTCTTGTGTCCCTCTGTTTCGGAGTTGCTTTTTGAACAGACTGTATAGTGGCTTCTTTGGTTTTGCGTAAATGGCTTTCCTCTTGCCCRTTTAACCCGTTTATCGGAGCAATCGGGTGTTCAAAATTTTTCTTTTGCTTGTGTTGTTTTTCTTTTGGATTGGTAAAAGTAGGAGTTTTTTCCATTACAGAAGAATTCGCTTTTGCTGCGTCTCCGATTGTTTTTGTATCGACCACATTGGACTTCTTCGTAGACAAAAGCTTCGTTTCCGTTGCTGTCTTTTCTGAAAGAAAAAATGGCTCGTTTTTGTCCCTTCTTGCTTTCTGTGATTGTGCGGCGATCTGTTCCGGAATATTGACGGCAATCTGTGCGGCGACGTTCGATSGGTGTGGGGTTGGTTCATCRCATTCCAATCGACTCGGACTTGCTTTRTCTTTGGGTWGATTCGAATTTTCCAGCGGGGCTGTTTCTACGAAATCTGATTTTCCAATAGTGTGGGCTTCGCCGACACCCAGACTTTGATTCGGCAATTGGTCGATTGGATCAACTTGTTTAAAGATCTTTTCTCTTCCTTCGGTCAAAGAATAATTTCCCGCATCGGTTTTGTCTCCGGGACGAACAGCTTCGTCTAATTTAGGAAGAGATGCTTGAGGAAAGAGCGCCCGWTCAAAATTTTGGCTCGTTTCCTGTGTGTTATATTCGTTCTGTCTGTTGACGCCTTCTAATTCGTAGTTCTTCTTACTGTCACCTTCATTCCCAGTCTCGACAGGACGGGCATCCAAAGACTTAGCCAGCATCCCTGCTAAACGGAATGGRCTCGCATTYGCTACTGATTTCATCATTTTTCCAACATCGACTTCGTTGCCGTCGTCATAATCCTGCTCRTCGTCATAATCCTCGTCATCGTCATAATATTCGTCRTCGTCGTAACCGTCGTCRTCGTAATACTCGTCATCGTCGTCCTCCCGAGGAGCAACGGCGTTTCCGATCTTCTCAAGAGTCGCGTTGATGTCGGGCGCACCCAGTTCCTTTGCTAGGTTGGACCACATGATAAAATCGAGTTWAGTTGCTAGTTATGGGGTTGGCCGCAGCAATCTATTCCGGAAACCGTTCATGCAGCAGTGCAACCTATCCCGGTCATTATTGAACAAAAGGAAATAAAAGAGAACTGCGATGGTGGTACCATAGCGTGGTAGCAGTGTCATACTTCGTACAGTACGTACTGTACTTGGTACCGTGCGGTAGAGAAATAATTTCAAGGTATGTTTTCTCCTCCAACAAGATATGTACCATATATACACATACTACCCCGGTAAGGGTTAGTTCGAGTGTTGGACTGCCGAAACGTTCAGTACTCGGACAAAACCACGGTCCTTATGGTACGTACCAGGTACGAGTACTACTACTATGTAACTACTACTCACGGCTGTTCATGGCCGGATTTTATTCCATATTTGGCGTTTTCTTAGAGTTAGGGATAACACTATAATTTGGTAGGAATCAAGCAATATGATTGGCTAATAAGATAGATCAAAATATCAAAAATTATACAGTATACTCCCCTGAAATATAATTTTCTCGTAGAATCCTACGTAATATTTGTACTAGGAATCAATATTTGCTTCTTTTTCAACGCCAAATTGGTTCCTTACTAGCAGCAACCAGTTTCTTATTCATTAAGCTATCCTCCTCTTCTTGTGTCTGTTGGCGTTACTATGAATGGCGTTATACGCATCTGTTACTTGGGATTGCATTGTCCACGATAGGATGATGGTAGCCTTTACTAGCGTGGAAGATGTAGCAACAGACAAGCAATAAAATGGTTTAATCCTCCTTATCCTCCACGATAGGCGACAGGAGCGCTTGTTCTTATTACTAATATTCGTCGAACGTCGACTGTACTAGCAATCCCTCATAATTCTAGATTATCAGCTACTTTTGCCAAACAACCTCAGCACCATGGGAAACGAAGTATCTGCAGAAACTATTGCTGCTGCTGGTGCTGCTTCTGCTTCTGCGGCTGCTGCTACAGGACAGCAACAAGAAAGAAGAAGAAAGGACGATCAAAGAAAGGGTCACGTCGAAACGGCTCCCAATGAGGAGTCTCCCCCTCCTCTAGATGACAGCAACACCGAGAGACATGTTGCTATAGACCTACTAGGCCTAAAGGATAGACCAGTAAATCCAAGCAACGATGATGATTTTCCTGCGCATTTTCAACAAGATGCTGCTGCCACTAATGCTGCTGCCGCTGCAGCTCTGGCTTATGCTGCAGCTGAAGAAAAGGCGATGGAACAACAAGTAACAGATTATTTCAAGAATGCTGATGGCGATGAGGATGATAGCGATGAGGATGAAGTAAAGTCTACTGGTGAAGATAGTAAAGATACTACTGACACGGAGGAGAGTCGCCATGTCGTCAAGAAGAAAGGGGGAGGGAAGCCAACAGTAACTGTGCAGACAGTCTACGAAGACGAAGACGAAGACGAAGACGAAGACGAAGAGGAAGAGGAAGAGCAGGGAATATGCGTGGCCCCGCTGAGAGCATCCACCCGGATCAAGGCAAGGCAAGAGGCTGCAGCAAAAGAAAGGAAGAGAGCTTCTTTGTTGAGAGAAAGAGCTCCTTCTTCAAAAAAGGATCTGATTAAAGAAGCAACAAAGCTTGGAACTCAAATAAGAAGAGCAGCGAAGGAAGCAGGCAAGCTTGAAACGCTTGATAGTCTTACTCGTACCCTTGATAGAAAAGGACATCAACACAACTATGGGTTGCGGACCAAGAGGAGGATCACAAGTCTCTTGCCCACAAGAAGTGCTGGAAACAAGAGAAAGAACAAGAACAAAGCGCAGCCGGAACCAGCTACGACAACGGATAAACCAAAGGCACAGGAGGAGGAATCAGCAAGAGAGACTGCAGAGGAAGAGACTCCCACCAAGAAGAACTCGAACAAAAGAAGAAAAGTAGAAACAAGGCCAACTTCAGTGAACTGTGTGAAGGATCGTACTGTTCGAGCTAAGTTCACTGTAGCTACAAAGCACATTAGCGACTTGCAGTATTGCAGCACATGGGAAAATCAAATTGATCGTGATGAGAAGCCCAAATCGCAGCACTTTATGTTTACGTATGATGAGATGGTGCAGAAGCCACACTGTGCTCAAAATAGCAGAACCAGAAGACCTGCTGGGCCTTGTTTTATTTTTCTCTGCCCAGAAGACTCGAAGGTGAAGGAATTGGGTCGTCTACTAGTTCGTGTAGGCAAAGACATGTCCAATAAGACCGGAAAAGGGTACCACTGCACTAAGAATCCAGATGAATATCATGATCTGGTGTTCGGTAAAAAGGACAAGAAGTCGAAACCTTAGTTCAAATAAGAATTTATCTAATTCATATTTATTTCTAATTATTTATTTCTCATTTTGGATGCAACAGCAATAACAAGCGTCCTCAAGAGTAGCAAATACGGTAACAGCAGCCGTCGTTGATGATGCTAGCAACACTAAGTTCACCAAACTGAGTTCAACTATCCTTCGCTCAGGACTGACCTTATCGTCATTGGCAGTGATGGCATGCGTCATTGAATCCACAATTGCACTCAATAGTGAATACAACGTCATGGGCAGTGACGGCAGCCCTGTACTACCAAGACGGACAGGCAATGTCCTCGTTAGCAATGATAATAAAGATGGATAACGACAGGCATCCTCATGCCGTCCACTACACTCCCCCAGCCGAAACAAAGGAGCGGATCAAAGGCCCAATTTTATTGTATTCATTTATTGAAAACTTGAAGATCAGCCTCTCCACACCGGAACCAAAATCTCCAGTGATCCTCATCCTTCCAAACAAATGGTTTCCATTTGCACTAGCCACCCGCCTGAAGTCAAAAGAGCATGCGGTCGCTTTCAGGTCAATCATAAACAACGGCTCTTGCGGCAATGGATCTGTAATGAAGATCCAATAGCTCAACCCTTGGCCATCAAAGATCCTTAGGATGCTTTCGGTGTCAACACAAAGAAAAGCTTCTTCAGCAAAACGAGTGGGTCTTGCGCCATCTAAAAGGTCTCRGAAACACATGGCACAATAAAACGTCTTAATGTTGGCAAACGTCATGATAGTTGAAGGGTTCCTTTAGGTATTTGTGATATGAAAATTATGGCGTGGCTTCTGGAAAAGAGTTGAGACTGAAACACTCRAAACAAATAGAAGTAGTTCAAAATTTTGATTCACTTCAAAATTTGAAGAGCTGGCAGGCGTCAGCTACCAACAAATATTTGATTTGTTCAAATGATACACTCATTTGATTTATATCATTCCATGTTTCCCCGCCAGACTTTGAACCATAATTYGAGAATCGTGAAAAAGAAAGCAAACGCTAATATGAATACTAACTCAATCCCAGAATTTGTTGATGTCGGAAATGGCAAAATCAAGATTGTCTTGAGTAACTTCACTGGTGAACTGATTGCAAGAGATATYGTTGGGTTGACAAGATACATGGATTGTCCTGTTCCTACTACTACTAGTACTACGGAACTCAATGAGCCCGACGGATCCAAAGGCCCTCCCTTCAATGATTTTGACAAATCCAAAAACAAGGTGGGAGGAGGAGATAAAGAAAGAAAGAATGCATCCTCTCAGCCAGTTGAAGAGGGAATCGACCACCCAGATCAGGAGGATGATGATACCACTTCAGTCAATCTCTTGGAAGACAGCGGGGGTAGTGACGAAGATACTGCCGACGACAAGAGTACTGTTTGTGGTGGATTGGCAGCGCAAACTGCTCAGCAGCATGGTCTTAATGTTTCTGTTGCTAACGACGATGACATCGAGTACGAGCCCGAGTTATCCCAGCAAGTCTGTTATTGGAAGTATTAACGGAGGAGCACATTTAGCATACAGTTCTTTAAAGCGATAATTAGTAGTTGGTGAATTACATTACACAAGCTTACATCAAAATTGACTTCATTGTATTGATCAATCCTAGGATACGGTCCTGGACACATGATAGTTTCGCAACTCCGAGGTGCGCTGAGCGTAAATGTGAAAGATGCCATTYGCCTAAAATAGTGGTGGCAGGTACAAAAAATCAAGAGTGACTCAAAATTTCAACTGGGACTGCTACGTACTATTACGTACAGTAATACTACTAGAAAATACTTCGTAATTCTGTTTTCCTCTCCGTTGAAATGAGGTAATTTTCTTCACATCTTCTTTTATTTCATGTATTATTTGATTTCACATCAACTGCGAGGAGTATGGAAGATTCCTAGTAAGATGTTTCCAAGGACTGCCCAGAGCAGGAATTYGATGAAGATGGAACAGAACAGAGTCGCATTCTGCCCTTATAGGCTGAGGAACGGTAACCGCTTTGTTGCGGAAGGGGTCCCTCCCTGTTGCGGAAGCCTCAGTTTTGAAAACGACAACATGTTGCCGTGCATGAGCCTCAATCTACCTCTTTGCAATGCTTTTCTCTCCATTCAAGAAGAAGAATTACAAGAAGAAGAAGAGGAATCTCTTCAATATAATGCCACCTTCTTCCAAGAAGGAATTGCGTGACGCGCTGCTGCGGACGTACTCGTCAAAGGCAAAAAATCCATCAAAACTTCCAATTGTGACGTGGATGAATAATTACAAGAATCTTGAGGAGAATTGGATGCGTGACTTACTAACAGGTCAGGAAATAGATTCCGCTTCAACATCAATTCCGCCACTGTGCTTGATATATTGTTTCTTTATTAGCCGGAAAGATGATGTATTTGAAAGCAGTGTGGGAAGATCTGGACAAAAGGAATATTGTAAAATGAAGTGTATCCAATTCCTGAACCGAGAATTCCAAGAGCAATTTACAGCATGTGTGCGACTTGTAGATGACAACAAACGCAAGAAGTTCGGCATTACAGATAAGACRTTTGCCAAGTTTCTTTCTTCCATTGAAGAATGCACTAATTTTGTTTGGTCACCAAAGAATGCAGTCTGTCCTCTCGAGGCTTTTGTTTCAGGGCAGAATTCAACAGTTGGACACGGATGGTTGCGCATCCTTTTGTTTCAACATGAAGGTCGAGAATTGAGGCAATATACTGATCGATGTAAATTAGTTGTTATTCTTCACACTATTATTCGAGGGTTCTGTGGGGATAGTGGTGCTTTGTTGTGTATTGCACTTGGAAAGAAAGGATCAAAAAAGAATGACGTGCAATGGCTCAAACTGATCGCCAGGGACTTAGTTTGGAATGTTCTTCCACCTCCATCACCAAGAGACGACAGTTCCAGAAAGYCATCACCGGGCCTAAAGAGTAGAGCAACAGCTCCAACAACTTCGGTGTCTGATGATTTATCAACTTCTGTACAAGACTCTATTTTGTTGTCTCCAAGTATTATTCCTGGATCAGTRTCATTTGCAGATGAAAGAGAGGAGGACCAGAGGACTTCGCCATTGACTGTCGAT